CGCCCCCGCCTTCCCGCCCGTGCACGCGCGCCCCAAATTGGCGGGATTCGGTTTGAATCCCCCCACTCTCTCTCCATCTCCCCACATCGTCGGCGAGGAATCCGGCCACCTCCCGGCCACGTCCACCCTTCCCGTCCCTATAAAAACGTTTCTCCGATCCCCCTCTCTCTTTTCCCCCACTCGCCGCCCTCTCCCGTGCCTCCTACCGCCGTCGCGCCGCTCGCCACTAGCGCCGCCACTTGCCGCCGCCTCCGGCCACGCGCTGCCACCGCTAGAGCTGCCGCCGCCGTTAGCATCACCGCCGCGTGAGCCACCTCGGCCACCGCTCAGTTTCTGCTAAACCCCACCGGAGCCCCCTTCTCCTCACTCGACGGTGAGTTCCTCCCTCCCCTCCGCCTCTGGCCATCAATGGCGTCTGCCGTGGTCGGCTTCCCTACCCCTAACCCCCTCCTCTCTCTCCTTGAGTGCCGCCGCCGCCCGTCCGACCCTTCGCGTCGCCGGTCGTCGCCGCCGCCTTTGCCTTCCGCTCCGGCCGCCATACCCGCCGGTGAGGTCTCCCTCTCCTCCCGCTTTCCCTCTCTCCCATGTGCGCCGTTGTCCTCCGCGCGCGTGCCGTCGCCTTCGGCTGCCGCCGCCCCTTTTCGCGCCGCCCGCCGCCACCTCCCGCGCCGCTGGTTACCGTCGCCGGTGACCGCATGCCGCCGCTGCTCGCCATGTTTGGCCAGCCGGCCAGCTTTGGAGCCGAGCCGAGCCGGTCGACGCCTCACCCCTCCCCCTTGTGACGCTGCCGGTGGGGCCACCGGCCGGCACCTCTCCCTTCCCTCTTGAGCTGCTGACCCGTGGGTCCCGCCTATCTGCGCCCCCCCTGGATGACGTCAGCCCTGGGAATATTGCGCAATAAATCAATTAAGGCCTTTTCTTTATTAGTAAAAACACGGATAATCTTATAAAAATCATATCTAATTCATCCGAGCTCCGTTTAAGTCCATTTAAGTCTCAGTAAATTCATAAAGATGCATAGAATCCATTAAAAAATGGTTTTGTTTCCTGTTTCAGTAGTCTTATAGCATGTTTTACTTGTGTGCATTGTTTGTCGTGTAGATTTCGGCTGTTTCGTTGATCCGCGGTTTCTCGAAGACGTTGCTGAGGTCTCATCAGCGCGAGAGCAAGGCAAGTCATGCATTACAATTGATCATATTGTACCCAATTTACAAATGTCTCGCATTTCTATTAAATATTGCATTATTTTATAATATCATGTGGGATGGGTCCTATTACCCAGCCATAGGTTGTTCACCTCATGCCATTGATAAATTGGGTATTAAAATACGTAGATGTTGGATTAGGAATTGCTTAGCCATGCTTATTTCAGCTAGTACACAAGGGGGGAATTACATTAATGCATAGACTTGGATTATTGGCATAGCTTTGGAATAGAGCCACCGCAATGGTGTTAGTTAATTAAAATACACTACATGGTGGGCTGTGGGTGCATGGTTTTGCTAGTCGTGCCCATGGCGATTAAGGACCAGTTCGCGGGATGCCCTAGAAGAACTTATCGTACTTACCACAAGCCAGCGTGGGCAACGGCTGGGCTTGTAGCGTAGCTTTCTTGTAGCCGACATGCCCAGGTTAGGGTGGGCGTGATGGAGTTGGGTCGGCCGGGGTGTTCAGTTGATCGGCTTTCGGATTCACCGTGGCACGAGAGGGGTGCTGCCCGTTGCCCGCTGGGGACGGGGGCTAACCTTGAGGTGTGGTGCGATCGGTTAGAGGGGGTTATGCGAAGGGTCCTGTCACGGCCTCTTTCCGGTATGTCGTGTGGCATGTCGGCACACGGAAATGTGTTATGGGGCTGTGTCTTGTGGGTACAATTGTACACCTTTGATCAGAGTAAAACTATTCGAATAGCCGTGCCCGCGGTTATAGGCGGTCGACCAGATTCACCGTGATTAGTCTCACCCCTAGTTAGCTAATGGAACTGTGTAGTTCTGGTGGTTGGTTGGGCCTGTTGCAACGTGGTGTAGCGTTGGACAGTGATTGGTTAATATTGCTTAATCTACTGCAACTGTTTTACTGCTTTCAACTAATGCTTTTAAATGCATGCTTTATGCAAATGAACCTTTAGCCTACTTTGGTTATATCTTGCATCATACCTCCTCTTCCGGTATGACTTGCTTAGTACAGTGGGTAGTACTCAGTCTTGCTCTCTTTTCCCCCACACCAGAGCTGAAGATTTTCCTAGTTGGAGCTGTCTTGTTGAAGTTGGTTTCGTCGCTGCCATCAAGGATGCCTGTGGAATGGAGTCGCCTCGTTGCAGGAGTCTTTAGGCTTAGCTCGCTTTTACCTTTTCCGCTGCATTTGTAGTCTTTTATATTTTTGTAAGCTGTGAATCTGTATGTCAACAATTGTCGTTTGTGTACCCTGGCTGGTTCTGGACAGGGGTTTAATGCACATTCAGCTTAGAAATTCTGGTTCGTGAATTTCTGGGCATGACAAGTTGGTATCAGAGCTGACCTTGACCGTAGGACAAGCCAACTGGAAACCCTAAGAGCCCTCTGAAACCTATTTATCTGCACATGCCCTTTTCACTTGGACTTGTTTCGGGAAAATTTGGGAATTTTGGTTTTCTTGTCTTGTGGGAAAATCTTGGTCGCTTATTTAATTGGATTTATCGACTAGGAATAGTATGATGTTTTAGAAAAAAAAATTATTTGGAATTTATTTGGCCGCCAGTCAGGAATTTGTTGGGTGTTATGCACTAAGTTGTGTCTAGATTCGATGGGGCAATTTTATGCGTATCATTATAGCTATGCATCTATTTTATGCATTAAGTTATTGCTTAGTCAGTGTCATTAGTATCTTTTGTCATTAGTATCTTTTGTTTGGGTTCATGAAAAATGTTCCATGCATAAAAATCATCATGCTTGGCTAGTTACTTGAGTCATTCGTTGCTTTGTTTAATTTGGATTTGAGCATGTATTGGTTCCTATCCCTTGTCTACTTTAGATGTTAGACCTGTTCCTCGATCGCAAGCGCCGCTCCAAGCTTCAGAGTCGCCACCTTTAGCCTCCTTTGGTTATATCTTGCATCATACCTTCTCTTCCGGTATGACTTGCTGAGTACAGTGGGTAGTACTCAGTCTTGCTGTCTCTTCCCCCACACCAGAGTTGAAGTTTTTCTCAGTTGGAGCCGTCTCGAAGAAGTTGGTTTTGTCACTGTCGTCAAGGATGCCTGTGGAATGGAGTCGCCCGCTGCAGGAGTCAAGTCTTCAGGCTTAGCTCGCTTTTATCTTTTTCGCTGCATTTGTAATCTTTTATATTTTTGTAAGACGTGGATCTGTATGTCAACAATTGTCGTTTGTGCACCCTGGCTAGTCCTGGACAGGGGTTTAATGCACATTCAGCTTAGAAATTCTGGTTCGTGAATTTCTAGGCGTGACAGCGAGGGTGGCGGCTCTCCTCCTCCTCCATATACGACAATGGCAGGTGCAGATGGTGGTTCGCTAAGATGCTGGTGTACTATACTTTCTTGTTTAGTTGAGCTGTTCGAGTTTTTAGTATTCTTTGTGAAGTTCTCATCTTCCGTTGTGATGAAAAGCCTATATGGTTTGATTTCGTTTGCAGCTTCATCTCTTCTCTCTACTGGATTTTTGGACATGTTCCTCAAATTTCGAAGGTTTTGGGTCAGCAACCATGCAGATTTGTTCGCTTTCCTCAAATTTTAAAGGTTTTGGGTCAGCCACGAACGGATCAGAAGCAGAAATATTTTGCTTCCTGCGGGAACCTTGCGAACTCTTCACGATCTGGATGTGCACGGGGAAGAAGGGAATTGGATGAAAATACACGTTGTTGAGTCTGATAGACGAACGACATGGGAACAACATGGATGTGAGCTCGACACAGATAGGGATGACGTATGAAATTCTTGGGAAAAACATCTTGAATTTTTATAATGGGTAAAGAACATAGATATATACATAGATACCCAAGGTGTTTAGATTAATTTTAAGCATTTATTATTTGGTCCCAACACAACCAAACGATAGACAATATTTTCTTTTTCTCTGATTATGGTGGTAATTTTTAGGCCTCTAAAGTGAATACAGTGCTCAACCTATTACCAAAGTGCTCAGCCTGGGACCAACAAGCAACGGTTCAAAAGGGCTCCCTCCCCCTATTCCAGTACAACAGCTGCAGAAGATCAGCACAGAGAAGTGTGGCATGCTTCCTGAGGAAGTTGCAGTGGACAAGCTACTCAAGCCCAAGAAATGATCCCCATGTTTTATTGGTCCCAAACTCCTAGTGGTTTTGTCTATCGGTTTTGTAATAAGGCTATCTGTTTAGCCAGTACTTTTCCCTATGTTCTCTATGTTCTGCTCGACTTTGCTTTATGGTCCTCTATTATACTGTTTGTCTTCACCTGGGCTCTCCTAAGATGGATGATTAGTTGTATTATTATCAACTGTGGTGGTGAGCTTTTATGGGGATATATCTTGATCAGGAACGTCAATTGTGGGGGTCAGTGTTGTTAAGTTGGTTCCTTCTGCATTTTCGTGGTAATCAGATTCATGAATAATTCCAATAACAGGTCATGCCAAATTCTGTGCTGGAATATTAGAGGGATCAATTCCAACCAAAAGTGGTTAGCTCTTCGAGAAAAGATTGCTGAAACTTCCTGCTCTATCATTTGCCTTCAGGAAACAAAAAGAGAACATTTTGATCATTCCTATCTTAGAAATTGTTGTCCTAGAAGATTTGACAAATTCATCTTTCAACCTTCGGTGGGGAACTCTGGTGGCCTTATTGTCATTTGGAATAGTGCAATTGTCTCTGGAAATGTCATGTCCTGTCTGCCCTATGCGATTACTATTGAATTCAATTCAACTGTAACCCTAAATGAAACTTGGCATCTCACTAATGTATATGGCCCTTGCGCTGGAGAACTGAGAGATGAGTTTGTCCTATGGATGAATGAGCTAGACATAGAGCCAGATCAGTGTGGGATTATAATGGGGGATTTCAATTTTATAAGGTCTGTTGAGAACAGAAACATCCTAGGAGGAGACATGAATGACATTCTCATCTTTAATGAAATAATCAGCAATGCAGGCTTAGTAGAAATCCCTCTCAAAGGAAGAAACTTCACCTGGAGCAATATGCAAGAGCAGCCTCTTCTGCAATAACTGGATTGGGTTTTTACCTCAATAGCTTGGACTCTTAAGTTCCCTCACACCATGGTCACAGCAACCTCAAAGTACATCTCAGATCATGTGCCCTGTCAAATTTCAATTGAGACTTCAGTGCCAAAATCTTCTATCTTCAGGTTTGAGAACTTTTGGGTCAATGTCCCAGGCTTTTCAGATGTTGTGCAGCATTGTTGGTCCATTCCTGTTAGAGGAAATAACCATGCAATCATCTTGAATGCTAAGCTAAAAAACTTAAGAAGAGGGCTCAAAGCTTGGAGTAAACATCTGTCAAACCTTCACTCCTTGATCTCCAACTGCAATGATACACTATCCTTTATTGACAACCTAGAAGAGCAAAGACCTCTGGTTTTACAAGAATGGAATTTCAGACTAATACTCAAGGATCATTCTCAAGCTGTTATCGTATAAGAATGAATTTTGGAAAAAGAGATGCACAATTAGGTGGGTAAAATTTGGAGATGAGAACCCTAAGTACTTCCAAGCAGCAGCCACTGATAGCCTCAGAAGAAACAAAATCTCCCACCTAAAATTGGATAATGGAGGCACTGCAACCACACATGAGGAAAAAGCCCAGGTGCTTTTCACTTCATAAAAAAACAGGATGGGAACTAAGGGCACAATGCAAATGGTTTTAAACCTCCCTGAACTGATCCAAAACGTGGAAGGACTGGAGCAGATTAGTGAGATCCCATCAGTAGAGGAACTGGACAAAATAATAAAAAAAATATGCCGACTGATAGAGCCCCTGGACCAGATGGATTTAATGGGTTATTTTTGAACAAATGCTGGGATATCATAAAGCAGGATTTCTATGAGCTAGCCTATCAGTTTTTCAGCAACAATATATCTCTAGAAAATGTCAATCACTCCTTCATAACTCTGATTCCCAAGAAATTGTCACCTGAAACTGCCAATGACTTTAGACCAATAGATCTTCAAAGCTCATCTCTGAAATTTATCACAAAGATCCTAGTAATCCAAGGGGTGATTCTAAAACTCATTCATGACAACCAATATGGCTTCATCAAAAACAGGTCTATCCAAGACTGTCTAGCTTGGAGTTTTGAATATATCCATCAATGCAATCAGTCCAAAAAAGAGATTATCATCCTCAAAATAGACTTTGAAAAGGCTTTTGATCTAGTGGAACACCAAGCAATCCTGCAAATACTCCAAGCTAAAGGTTTCAACAACACCTACATAAATTGGATCTACAACATCTTATCTTCGGCCTCCACTTCAGTATTGCTTAATGGGGTTCCTGGCAAGAGTTTCAAGTGCTTGAGGGGTGTCAGATAGGGGGATCCCCTCTCCCCTCTTCTTTTTGTGCTGACAGCCGACCTTCTGCAATCCATAATTAATAAAACTTATTCCAAAGGGTTGCTTTCAACACCAATCCCAAGTGACAATGGGCTTTTCCCAATAATTCAATATGCTGATGACACACTCATAATCATGAAAGCAGATCAGAAGGAGATTTTCTGTCTTAAGGCCCTTCTTAACACTTATGCAATGTGCACAGGACTTAAAATAAATTTTCATAAATCCTTTATGATTCCCATCAACACTGACAGCACCAAAATGGAAGTTCTGGCTGGCACTTTGCCTTTCACTTATCTAGGCCTCCCTCTGGTAACCACAAAGCCAAAGGTCAGTGATTTTGCCCCTTTGATTGATAGAGTGGAAAGAAGGCTCCCATCCACCACAATATTCTTGAACTATGGTCAAAGGTTAACAATGGTCAATTCAGTACTATCTTCCCTACCAACTTATTACATGTGCACATTAAAGCTTCCAAAAAAGGTCATTCTACACATTGATAGAGCAAGAAGACACTGCCTGTGGAGGAAAAACAATGAGTTAGAAACTAGAACTCATTCACTGGCTGCCTGGGATATTGTTTGCAAGCCAAAGAAAAAAGGTGGATTGGGAATAATCAATTTGGAAATTCAAAACACTGCTCTTCTCATGAAGCACTTGCACAAGTTCTTTAACAATAGGGACTTACCATGGGTTCAACTCATTTGGAACAAGTACTACATCAATTCAGACAAACCACCTCATGCTCACAAGGAAAAGGGATCTTTCTGGTGGAAAGACATCTTTAGATTAATCCCTATGTTCAGAGCTTTATCTTCTGTTACCGTTGGATCTGGAGACTCTGTGCTGTTCTGGAAAGATAATTGGAACAACCAGCTTTTGGAAAATGAATTCCCTGTGCTGTTCTCTTATGGAAAAGAAGAAGACACATCTCTTCACAATTTTATGGAAAGTGAACTGCAGCACAATTTTCACCTCCCCCTATCCAATCAAGCAATGCAGGAATGGGATGCTCTTCATAGCAGATTACAGAATTTACACTTTTCAAGTGAAGCAGACAAATGGGCATATATGTGGAAAATAGACCAGTTCCAACTCAGGAAGGTTTACTAATTGTTTTTGACCATCTACAACCTGCCAGACCCCTCACCATACTTTGGAAAAGTAAATGCACAATGAGGCTAAAAGTATTCCTCTGGCTAATGCTAATGGACAGACTCAACACAAGAGAAATGCTACAAAAGAAGCAATTTAACATCCAGGGAGGCACAAATTGTGCAATGTGCAATTCCATGATTGTAGAGAGCATGACTCATCTATTCTTCTCCTGCACATTTGCACAACAATGCTGGCTGGAACTCGGTATTCAGTGGAATCTAGCGCTTGAGTTCATGAACATAATTACAACAGCTCAAGCAACTTTTCATCTCAACTTCTTCTTTGAAGCACTGGCGATTGGCTGCTAGCACATCTGGTGTAGAAGAAATGAGCTTATCTTCAACAATGTGGCTAACAGTTTGGTCAAGTGGAAATCGGAGTTCAAGAAGGATTTTGCTCTGCATATGCACAGAGTAAAAGAAGCAGAGAAACCCATCTTGCAATCATGGATTGACTCTCTAAGTTAATCTGCTTTGTAATTTGCTTTGTAATTTTTGTAAATATTGTCCCTTTATTATTATTATTATTATTTATATTAATATGGTGCAGTAGGAGCCTCTCCTGCTGTTTCACGTAAAAAAAAAGTGAATACAGTGGCACTTTTCCTTATTAGCATGCGGCATACATGAAGCGGATTTAAATTTTGGGTGCATCTTAGGATTTTATCTGCTAAGTATTGTTTTTTCCTACTTAATAATTGAGAGTCCTAGAAATATTCACCATAGAGTATTTAGCAGCTGTGGAGCAGAGAATCTTCTGGGTAGTCACCAAAAGTCTGTCTGTGACACCATCATATTTACTCCGGTGAAATCCTAGGCTCAATACTACTCCTATTTACACGTGCATTGCAGTATTTTTCTTTTATTCGATGTGGTGAATACCGATTTTTGAATAACAATACGATCCATAGTCTGTACTCCATACATAACAACGTATGAAATTGTTGGGAAAAACATCTTGAATCTTTATATTAGGTAAAGATAAAGATTTAAGTAGGTAAAAAAGATAAAGATAAAGAAAATAGGAAGTTTCATGGTTTTGGCTGTGCGGTAAGTTATATTAGATTCCTGATTTTTCCTATTTTCATACAATCGGACTCTGGCACAGTTGGCGTCGTGTGGGAGAGAGACATCGCTATGCTTCGTGTGGTATGCGGTATGTTGTCAGGTGGGACGACAGAAACACTACGAATTTTATAAGGAGGTAAAGATAAAGATATGGGATACTAAGCGCTTCTTGTCAAAGAATGTCATATTTACAGATCTTCGGAAGTTGTAAAATTAATGTAGTTAGGCACATCAACAATGAATTCACAAGCTGACTAACATATATACATTCTAGCCTTCTAGGAATCTGAATGATCCTGCTGTAGCATTCTGTTTCCTCTGGAAAGCACTCTTTGCATTCGTCGCGTTTTTCTTCTCTACTCCATGGCCACATCCTCTTCTCCTTCACGTTGTGGGCAAGTTGTTTGACTAAAAAGAAGAAACAACGAATTAAGAGTTGGTTTCTGTGCCACTTGACTGATTAAGTACAGCAGGGCACATTCTTAAACGAAGTTGAATAGCATGAACAGAAATTTGAAAGATCAAAGCAATTGAAGCCATGTACCTTTGGGCTTGCTCTGAGGTCTCATAGGTCCTTGTCTCAAAGGAGTAGGGTTCCTTAGTGTAGGAGACATATCCGAATAAATCTATTACTTCTCTTAGAAAATTATATCCAGATAACCCTGTTGGTAGAGTGTATCCAGATAAATCTATCCGTAAAGTGCATCCATATGCCTTTAGTTGCGAGACATGCTGTATCTTTCCCCACTCAGAGGTGGTATCTTGTAAGGATATCAGTCCGAACAATCTTCTGTTGCAATGTACAAATAGCTTCTTTAACATTGGTACTCCAAAGCATTCTGGGAGTTTTTCTGCTTTCAAATCCCACCAGTATATGCTATTCAGTAATGGCAATTCTTCCAGCACCTTTAGCGCTGGGCACTCCCAGATGTAAATATTTTTCAAGCTTGGGTTATTGGTGACTCTCTCTAGTTTTGGGTTTTCAATCAGCTGAAGATTAACAAGGGAAGGGAAGTTTTCTATGGAGACCAATTGTCTTACACTTTCTAGGTACAAGCTTTTCAGTGCTCTTGCTTGGCATGGTAGCCCAGGAGGTATATACTTCAATTCACAATATGAAATGGAAAGACCCTCTAGAACAGGCATTGCTCTGACTTGTTCCTCCCAATCCCACATTTCCCATCTCGGCATCCATTTGAAACCCATAGTCTTCAGCTTGGGAAATGCAACACTGCTGCCATATGAAGAGGGGAATAGGAGCTCACGTCCAATATGCTTGATGGCCGGAGCACGCTCGATCCAAAGATGATCAAGAAAGGGAAGCTGGCCCATACCATTAGGAAGCCGGTTGCAGCATGCATAATCCTTTAGTTCCAAGCGTGTTAAGTTTGTAAAAGCTGACATCATTTGCATCCACTTGGGTAGTTCAACTCCAAAGTAACCTCCAATTGTAAGTAGTTCTGTGGATTGTGGAGGACAGAGATTACTCAACACCTTCTCGATTCGATCTTGCTCCTCTGCGCTGATGTTGCATTGGACATCTCCATTGTCTGTCCCGAGCATACTGGCACACATCAAATATAGCTCTGTTAGGTTTGGTTTACTACTGAGATTTGCTTTTGCAGCCGAAGAACCTGAAGGTGCCTTCTCCAAACCTGTTATTTCAAGTATTTTTAATTTTGACAGTGTCCCAAGTTCTTCCAAGCTGCACCAACCATCTGTCCTATCATCTGATGAATGGGTTGGAAACCCTGCCATGAAGACCAAATCTTTTAGCCTTCCAAAACCATGAGGAATTGAGGTTATCCTGGTGCGTCTAAGGTTGAGAAACCTTAGCTTCTGTAGCTTTAAGATGCTCTGCGGAAGTTGAGTAATATTTGTACAATCTACAAGGTCAATGACCTGTAGAAATTTTAGATCTCCAATGTTGCTATGGATTGTAGATATGCTTGTACCTGCAACTGCCAAATATCTTAAATGTTTGAGGTGGCATATGGATTGTGGCAGTTCAACAAGGTTGACAATATTTTGGAGATTTAGTACTCGTAGAGAAGAAAGACTATTCAGGAAATCATTGCTGTCAACCATGGAGATCTTGTTTAACATCAATGCTCGTAATGAGACTTGTTGTTTCAAAGCACCCCAATTTACATCTTTCTTTGATACAGATAACTGCCGTAACCTCAGTGTACGAATTGTAGGTATACTTGTATTTTGTCCCTCAGTAAGTAATATACCTTCTTCCTTTCCTACAGACTGTGCAAAGTAGCGGACTATATCATGCATGGTACATGCTGAATGATCATAGAATTCCCTCTTTTGTTCTAAAAGGTTCCTTGATGCCAATTCATTGAAGTATTCAAATCCCAAATCTTCTAGTAGGAAGGAATTACTCACTTCGTCTTGAACAAAACCTTCTGCCATCCACATCTGGACTATATCTCCACGTCTGATTACTTCATCTTTAGGGAAAAGTGAACAGTACAAAAAACATTGTTTCAAATGGGGAGGTAATTCTTCATAGCTTAGGATGATTGCTCTGTTAAGATAGTCAGTTGTGTTCACGGACCATGCACTGTGGTTATAGATACGCAACCAAGAATTTCTTGTGTTGTTTCTCTGTCTCAGTAGTCCTCCAATCACCTTAATAGCAAGTGGCAAACCATCACATCTGTCTACAATCTTCATACCGATATCCTCTAGTGCACAAATCTCAGATTCATCTGTTGTAACCCAAAATGCCTGTTGGAGAAGTACCACATGAGATATATGTTTGCCAGAGATGTAATTGTAGGGATCAAAACTCTGGTGCCTAGGCATTACTGCTCATAAACTTCTAAATACTAATTGATAAGTCCCCACAAAAAAAATAATACTAATTGATAAGCACATACAACTTTGGTTGAATTTCGCCATGCACATGATAGTTTGGATGCACTCAGGTGACTCTAACATTGTTATTCTATTGTCATGACAGGGGAGATGGAGATACACAAGTGGTAAATTAAATCAGTGGCAGCTTGTCAGGGATAAACAGGCCACATAGACATGAAGTCCATGTAGCACAGCCACACAATTTTGGTCAGATCAAGGATTGTTATGACACTTTTTTCAAGGGCTATCTAGACCACAAGAACAACAGTCAAAGTTGAAGGGGGAAGGGTAAGTGCCATTTTGATTTTCTTTTCTCCTATGAACAGATGACTGTTTGGACAATGTATTTTCTAGGTGTAGGTGTAGTGTGCCAATCGTGTAATGCCTATTATGATTTTGTCATTCAAGTTCTGTTTTCTTTCTTAACATTGCAAATATGTTTTTTAAAAAATATGTTTCTTGCTAATAAGGTGCCATGTAAGTGAAAAATAGATTATTTGGATACTGAGTAAAACATCATTAAAAATTGGGTTGGATTGCACTTAAGTGTTTTAACCGGTTTTGATAGACGAGGGGCGTGAATGTCTCATTTAATAGTTCAGGGTTGATTTCTACACTCAGGCAATAGTTGTTGGGTGTCAAAATGGACTTTACTCTATAATATATGTTGGCCTAAAATATAGCACTTTTATGAGAACTCAGAAGAGCTGCTACATACTGCTATGTAGCTCATCACTGTGTGAAGTTTGGGCCATAGGGCACTATACCTTTTTCTTAATGGAGTTGATTGTAACTTGACAGTTATGTCCACATAAAATTTACCATACTTCTGGTTTGCTAACAAATTTGCGCACTTAATTGTTCAAAAACACAAAACTCATTTCAATAAGTGGATACATGAGTTTATGAAACACCTTGCATTTACATCACTAGCAGGAACCCACTCCGTTAGTTTTTAGGCCAATATAAGTCAATAGATCCATTGATTAGCAGTTTAGCAAAAGTAGAGACAATCTGGATTGATTAATTGTATCAGTTGATCTTACTACCTATGTTATGTAAAATTGTTCTTGTGAAATAGTACTACTTAGAATTGTGCTTAATTACATGCATGGCTGTAAATAATCTGATTGTTTACCTGGTTCTTTAGCAATGACCAACCATCAAATCTATCAAGCTTCTCAACTGGATGGAGATGCTGTGCTCTCATCCCACGTGCGACTCCCTCGTTTCTTGTGGTCAGCAAGACTCGGCTCCCTGAAGCACCACTACTCAAAGGTACTCTAAGAAAATTGTTCCACACGTTATCGCTCCACACATCATCCATCACTAGCAGGAACCTCTTTTTCCTCACTGCACGCTCCAGTGCATTCTCGAGCAAGACTGTGTCTGCTCTGCAATGTTCGTGATTTCCCCCAAATTGTTCTATAGCATGCTTCAGAAGGTCAATCTCATTGACGTCCTGGTTAACACTCAACCAGATCTTCTCTTTAAAGTGGTTCTCCAACTCGCTGTCATTGAAAACCATGGTAGCAAGGGTGGTCTTGCCGATCCCACCAACGCCAGTAATAGCAACAACAATAACATTGCCGTTGCTTGATCTTGCAGGATCATGATCATCATCCACCCTGTTCACCAGCAGATTGACGAGGCTCCTTGCATCTTGTTCAATCTTCTCCCCAACGATGAAGGTTTGTTCGACAGATGGTCCAGTTCTGCATCTGTCGTCGAGCGAAGAACCGGCACCAGCAGCAGAACATACTGAGGGGAGGAACTTGAGGCGGGAGCGCCGTCTTGACAGGTCATCCAGCCTCCGGTTGAGTGCCTGGATCTTCCTCCCGATCTTATGCGAGGCAACGGGGTTGCAGAACCAGAACTTGGATGCGTTCCAGCAACTTGGATTGGTTCTTGCGTCGTCGTATCCCTCATCCTCGACGAGCTGGCAGAGGTCTAGGATGTCATCGGCGTCGTACATGACATCCTTGAGCTCTCTCACCCACCGCTTGACGGCCTCTTCGAGGCTGCGCCGATTGTCGGCGTCGACCAGGTAGCAACGGAGGTCACCCAGCGTCGTCTCAAGCTTGGTGATCTCGCCGGGCACGCCAAGGAGTTTCTCCACCTTACCCGTGGCCATGCCCATGATCTTGCCGCCCAGTTTCAGCGCGAACGACACCAGCGCGGACTCCATGGTGATCACAGTCACAGAATGGATGGAACCAGATAGTAGCTACAGCCTACAACTACAGATGAAGTGATCGTTTCTCAAATTGCTTGTCTTCACAGCTAGTTATATAGGAAGGTCTCTGGTGTACAAGGAGGGTATAAGGCCCCCTGATTAAGCTCTGTTCTAGTTTTTTTATTATTATTATTTGTTTTAACTTCAATGATAGGTTGACTCGAATAATGGACAAGATGACAGCACGTGAAATGCCCACAGCATCATTAGCTTCCCATGGGTGATTCTACTTATTTATTCCTTACTGGACTACGATATTATGTTATCCAATTGAAAACTACTGTCGTGTTCATCTTTTTCAACCATGCTTGTGCTAAAAGACAAAGTTGTTGCTGTTTCACTTCGTTGATTTGCAAATTGTGACGTACTTCTCATTTTGTTTGACGTTACATTAAGAAGTTGGCGCGTGGATCGATTTGGTTCCGTGTGCTTGTCCTTACCTTTGCAGTGGTTTTTCGCAAAATTAAGGTTGATGCTTAAGTTTGTTGTTTAGCGCCACCGCTGAGAGCAAGTTTAATAATAGAGCTAACTACGAGCTTATATAGCTTATATTACAGTTAGCATGTATAGTAGTGAGCTACGCAAGTTTAATAATAGAGCTAACTATGAGCTTATATAGCTTATATTACAGTTAACATGTATAGCAGTGAGCTACAGAGTATAAGGTTATCTCTTTTTTTTTCTTCTCCTCTCTCTATCTCTCTTACATATGCATTCAATGTATTTATCTTGAAGTATGTGAATAGTAGTTCTTGCATGAGAGCCAACCCTTTTTATTTTTTAAATTATCTTTTCTCCATATAAATATATAGTTGGTTTATAGCCTACTATTATACTTACTCTGAATAAATGATCTGACGGCTAGGTCCAATTAAGCCTGCCAATGGGTTTGCATCCACCCCGAATCCAACCCAACCCAAAGTGACTATAGCAAAATTGTCACTCCAATCCAGACCAAGAATTCCTTGAGCTAACCCCACCCAACCCAACCCACAAAGTTGCTCAGTCCAAATTCAACACAATCCACGGGTGGAATCCATTTTCCAACCCATACCCAATCCACGGCAGGAAGCAAAGCAGAGCAGAGCAGCCGGCGAACACTCACACTGCATACAGCTACTAGCATACTTACAAATAACATAAGCAAGATGCAAAAATAATCAATCAACGCTACTAGCATACTTAGAACTTTTGATGCTTTAAGTAGTGCCATCCAACAAGTTTTGGCAACTAAATATTACAATTATCACTAGAGATTCTACTAGAGCAACAGGCTCAAGAGAAAATCTCCAACAAAAAAAGCTATCAAGCATTACAAGCCTCAGAACCATGTATAACTGAACACCAACAATTTCTTCATGTCTCAATCTTTAGATTACCTTCTAAGATAACCAAAACCAAAAACCCTTCCAATTCTCAGCCACACATTCTTGCAGATGACAGTAACCTGAAAGAAGTAGATGTCATCAAAAATTTATATCCAGGAATAACTAGAAAATTGTGACTTCGTTGCTTAAGAAAGCAAATATACAAAATTACAATAACAATTTAAATAATGTGACCTTTGCAGTGTTATCAAAACAATGTGCCAAATTGATTCAATTGGTAAATAATGAATAGTAACATTTTATATACAAACAGAATAGGCAACAAAGTGGTAAACTCAATTTTGGAAAAATGCAGGTTCAAGAGAAGTATTCCATTCCAAATTTCCAATACGCCAAAGGAAAAGTTGAATTTAAAGTTGCATATATGTATATGGAAAGTCACCTTTCCATCTTCTTCACTTCACCACCTGAATAAATCAGGACAAATTTCCACCTGTAAATGATATATGATCACTACTTCATGATTGAAATACACAGAACATTTATGGAGGAATCATTTATCACTATTATACCTTCAGCGCCTGGAATATTGATCAAAGGATCGTTGGCTTTAATTAACCAATCTTTCGCACAAATGAGAGCTTCAAGCATTTCAGGTGTTAACGAACTTCGTGTGTCACCAAGTATCCTGCCCCCACAACTGAATGCTAATTCGGAAGATACAGTGCTGAGGGGTATTGCTAGGAAATCTCTGGCCATAGATGACAATACCGGGAATTTTTGAGCATGTCTCTTCCACCAGTCCAAAACATCGAAACTCTCACTATCCTCCTCAACATCTTCTTCTAAATATATGGCAAATTCTGATTTCGTTTGCCGTGCAGTCCTCCTTCGAGACTTGTATAAAGCAAACTCTTCCTCGAGTTTTCTTTTCCCAAGAACAGGTGATCCAACACTGCTGCTGCCTTCACGAGAATGTGAAAGCATGTGTTCATCATTTCTTCTTACAAACCCTTCGTATTTTTCATAATAATCCTTCAACCAATCTTCAGCAGAACCCACTTTTTCTACAATCTCTGTCACACTGTTAGATGTTTTCTCATAAAAGAAATTCAAATAATCTCCTTTTCTTCTTGGATCTAACATTGTGGCAATGACAAGTGCAGAGTTAAACCCACTGTCCCAATATTTGACAAACTTTGAGAGCATAGCTGCAGCCAATACCTTTAAAATATCACTAGTCTGCCAATCAGGGTCATTCAATGCATGACGAATTTGTAGCACCAAGGGCAAGAACCTATGTGCTGTTGGTTTCCTATCTGCTGACACCGATAATGTGGCTTCTTCAAAAACTTTAAGAAAAGCACAAATTGATTCAACTTTCTGCCATTCTAGTTCAGTAGGTGCAACTTCACCATGTTGATTTGCATAGCTATCCAGGACAGATCTGTACATTAATCCTTCTACAATCATTTTATAGGTGGAATTCCATCTAGTCGGTGTATCAAAAGAAAAACTCAACTTCGAAGGAAGATTTTTCGAGTTTGCCATAGAATTGAAATCTTGCATTCTTGATACTGAAGAATCTAAATGCTTCAACAACTCACGTAGCTTGTGTATTGTAGGTTTAATTATCTTCATATCATCCTGAACCAAAATATTTAGGATATGGGCACAACATCTAACATGCAAATGCTGACCCTCAAACATCAATGCATTCTTGTGATTCTTTATCAACTCTTGACATGCAGAATTGTTATTACTGGCATTATCTAAAGTTATAGTAAACAGTTTGCTTCTAATGCCCCAATATGTCAAGCAACTCATTATAGCTTCTTCAATGGCGAATCCCGTGTGGGGATACTTCAATTCCTTAAAGCTTATAATTTTCTTCTTAATGTTAAACTCTCTATCAATATAGTGTGCTGTGACAACCATGTAGCCTATATTTTGAATTGAAGTCCACATATCAGATGTTAGACATACGTGCGAATCAAGATTATGTAATTCAGCATGCAAGTCTTCCCTCATTCGCTCATACAAGTTAAAGGCATCATCACGAAGTGTTTGACACCCCACAACTTTGAAAGTTGGCTGCATGGACTCCACCCACTCCAAAAAATAAGGATCCTCAATTTTCTTGAATGGCACCTCTGCATGAATGAAGAATCTGACCATTAGCTCCCGGCTTCTCTTGGGAACAAACACGAAACCTTCCCCAGTCTGTTTCTTAATTGTTGCAAGGAAGTTGATTCTAGCATCACCATCAATAGCTGGACATGATTCGGCTATGTGATTAATAAGGTGACTTGTTCCTGACTTTTTGGTGGCTGTCAATCTTAAGCTACAATATTTGCATTGAGTCTTGGGACACCATCTATCATTACAACCTCTTGCTGAAAGTGTTCCCATACTTTAGCTCTCTTACGTGTTCTTGAAGATTGATTATTATTTGGACTATTAGTACCTGAACTCTCTGACATTTGTATGGACATATTTATTATTGAGTTTGTTCAATTGTCTGCATAGAGGAAGAAATCTAAAATCAAGATAGTTGAAAGAACATGGTCTATAATTATTTTTTTCACACATTGTACACGTGCTACAATCTAAAAATTGCACACTAAAATTCGATTGACCATAGAATTAATTTGCATCTCAAAATCATATCAGGACTCAATCTGTAATGATATGTTAAATAATTTGCATTGGGAGATGAAGGGAACCTGCATTCACTATACCTCCTTATCTTCTTCTTGAAATCTTGGAACTCCTGCACATAAACCCATCGAAGATTGTAATCTTGAGCAAGTTAACTTCTCAGTAAAACCAACAAAAAAAACAAAATCTTATAGAAACTATCACACCAATCACACTGTTCACATACGTCGTGGTACTTGGGCTTCTCAGGGAGATTGGCGACGCGGCCGGACCGCCAGAGGAGGACATCCTCGCCAGCGCCCGGCGGCGCACGCACCTTCCTCTTCTTCTGCTTCACCTGCACCTGCAACCACCAAGATCAGGAAGAGACCCAAAAAAAAACACAAACAAAACAACCAGGATAGATCAAAGACCGAGAAAAACCAGGGAAAAAGAAAAGCAATGGTGGTGGGGGAGGGAATCTGACCGGCGACGGCTTGGCGGCGGATTCGCGGACGGTGGCGGAGAGGTGGAGGAGGCGAAGCAAGGGGAGGGAGCGGCGGCGGCGGAAGGAGTGGAGCCATGGACGACTGATGACGCTAGGTTTGGAGAGTACTGGACTGTCTAGTGCATCCAAAGAAATCCATGGACTGAATCCAATTTGGATCCAAAAATCAGAAACCAAAAACCAATCCAATCCAAACCGTTTCCACCTCCACCCTAACCAGTCCAGCCCATTAAACTCCTCAATCCATTTCCATCCATCCAAACAACACCCAAACCTGAAACCAATCCATTGGGCCCATTTCAATCCAGCCCATTGGCAGGCTTAGGTCCAATGGGCTAAGACAGCAGCCGAAGAGAAAGTCGGAACAGCAATCATCTCTGAGGCCGGCCGCCGGCCCGTCAGAAACAGCAAGTTCAAATGAAGGAAATGTACACGGTGACGGTGGAAGGCGCCTTCATGAGAAAATGCACCATAGAGCAGTGCTGGATCTAGAAATTTTTGTTACCTTAAGCAAGTCTAATTAATAACGCCAACGGATATATAACAAATTCATGTAACTCTATAGAGTGTACCATACAACAATTTTTTATCGTATTCTAATTTAGAGGAAAACAATGGTTGTGTTTTTACAGACTAAGGGACTTAGAAATTTATTATCTTGAAAAGAAAAAAAATCAACATGAGTGCTAGAAAATTTACTGT